ACCAGAATATCCGCTATCAGACTCATCAATAGGTTGGAATGCTGTAAAGATAGAATTGTGGGATTTAACGTTTTCATTATGAATAAGGACGGATCAAAGATTATCGTTGGAACAATAGCGGAAGTAAAATCATACTACGAATTTTTCGAAGAAGGAGTTGGTGATAAGATTGAGATAAGAAAAGAGGGAAATGTAGGAAAAGTCAATCTGGCAGAGGTTGAAGTGTACGGTGTCTACCGACCAGGTAAAAACCGCTATTTTCACTATGAACCACCTTTTTATCAAAAGCTTTCAAGGCTTCCACCACGCGACGGACGATCAATTTCGGGACAGCAAAATTTCAACCTTACACGACGTTTAACGGCTATTGGTAGTTTTTCTCTACCTTTCCCTACTGAAGTGCGCCAAACAGCTTTGATCTTGTAAATCACCCTTAACGACAGATATCACAATTTTATTTTTGAAGCAGCAACATGATTTTACCGGCAGTGAGTTCACTGCTTATCATCATTCCAAAGAAGCATACTCGATTATAATTGATAAATTAAATCATAATCGATTATAATCATGATAACATACGTCTATATTATGATAATGGGTTGCTTACATGTGACTCTTCAAGTACTGCAAGACTGTAAGACCAGTTTAGTCAGCCACCCAATGTTTTTATTCAAATAGGTAACAATCAAGACGCGCACGTCTAGCAGACAAAAAACAGGTCCGAGCTGATTAGTTCACAAGTATAGGGTCTATTCACGGTACGTATCGAGATGACTCTGCAATCTGCATCTGGTCTCGGACCGAACATTTTCTAAGTCAAAAATAAAAAAAGTTTTTCTGGAAACTATCCTTGTTCATGTTTCATGCTACCCTGATCATTATTAGCCGAAAATATTTGTTCGGTTTTTTAAGTCCACACCTACCCTTCGATATACGATTTTGGACTCGCACTGCACCGTGTTAATTTTAGGCGGCAGCGGTCTGGACGCGAAAATTGGCCGGCGTCGGCGGCAAATCGCGGTGGTGCACGTCTCTGCAAGCGAAGTTCTGAAATAAGTCGACATGGACTGAATAGCAGCTCACTTTGACAACATTTATTAGGAAGTTCACCATTTTATAAGTTCATCTTTTATGAAATAAATAATAAACATAATTTTATGATTGTTTGTCTACGACTCACATAAACTACAACCTCAGTCTTAACAATTAAATTGTATTCAGTAGAATATACAGCTTGCAAAAACCAATGATTACTTCATTTACCTCTGCAAAGAAAGAAACGGACTGTAAAGTGGTCTGTATTCTTTAGTAAGGATGCTGAAAGGGAGAGAGAGAGAGAGAGAGAGAGAGAGAGAGAGAGAGAGAGAGAGAGAGAGAGAGAGAGAGAGAGAGAGAGAGAGAGAGAGAGAGAGAGAGTGAGAGAGAGAGAGAGAGAGAGAGAGAGAGAGAGAGAGAGAGAGAGAGAGAGAGAGAGAGAGAGAGAGAGAGAGAGAGAGAGAGAGAGAGAGAGAGAGAGAGAGATATATATAGATATATATATATATATATATATATATAGAGAGAGAGAGAGAGAGCGAGAGAGAGAGAGAGTGAGAGAGAGAGAGAGATATATATATAGAGAGAGAGATATATATATATATATATAGAGAGAGAGAGAGAGAGAGAGGGAGAGAGAGAGAGAGAGAGAGAGAGAGAGAAGAGAGAGAGAGAGAGAGAGAGAGAGAGAGAGAGAGAGAGGAGAGAGAGAGAGAGAGAGAGAGAGAGAGAGAGAGAGAGAGAGAGAGAGAGAGAGAGAGAGAGAGAGAGAGAGAGAGAGAGAGAGAGAGAGAGAGAGAGAGAGAGAGAGAGAGAGAGAGAGAGAGAGAGAGAGAGAGAGAGAGAGAGAGAGAGAGAGAGAGAGAGAGAGAGAGAGAGAGAGAGAGAGAGAGAGAGAGAGAGAGAGAGAGAGAGAGAGAGAGAGAGAGAGAGAGAGAGAGAGAGAGAGAGAGAGAGAGAGAGAGAGAGAGAGAGAGAGAGAGAGAGAGAGAGAGAGAGAGAGAGAGAGAGAGAGGGGGGGATACTAAGTACCATGAAGAAGTCTATACTATATTGTAATTCGTACGTGAAACTGAATACGTCTATAATTACCGCTGCAAAGCACGAGTTACTGAGATCGAGAGGACCGGATCCTTTGGCTCTAATTGGCTCTACTACAACATTCATAACCTACTACATAATTCATAACGGTCCTTTGATAAAATCTTAGTAAAGACAAACGGAGGCCACGTGGTAATTAAATGGGAGGGAGAGGTGTTGCTAAGGAGAGTAGGTCCTTACTTTACAATTCAACTGTTTTGTTTTGCATGCTCTCGAACAGCTAAGGTAACATTGACAAATAGAATGACTCCACCTAGGAATTTGACGGATCACCGCCCCTTTGCGTACGCGCTGGCTAAAAGGAAGGACAACCCTCTCAACATTTTCATCAACCCGTTCAAGATTACCATGATCGTGATTCTTCTTCTCACGGAGGTTGCCGCTGGTAAGAATTTAAGTTTTCCCCCGATTTGTAAGGCCTAAATTCGCTAAATTCGCGGCAAATTGTTTCACCAAAAATAACAATATGACCTGACTAACAGCCGATTTAATAAACCAGTCGAGTACGAAATAACGGTAACGATTGGATCACAGCATCAGTGGAGTGGAACAGACGACGCCCAGTACGTGAAAATTAACGGAACGCTGGGAGAAACAGAGGAGGTGCAGTGCGGAGGGGACGGAGATTACACCCCGGGCGTAGAAGTAACATGCACAGTGGAGAGTGTGGTAGATATTGGACACTTCAGATGTGTTATTTGGAGAACTGGAGGTGGAGATGCGTGGAATTTGGATAAGGTATGTTTGTAATTTAGATGGGGTTTTTTAAGAAATTGTTAGGTTCTTGGAATTTAGGTGAGAAGCTTACTGAGTTGGTGTCTTAAATACAGAAATAAAGTGATGCTGTTTATAAGATTCTGTCCCTTGTTTGAAATAAATAAGACCGATGTATTATGTTTCCCTTTCGTGTTCCCCATCGGTACCGTATGAGGCCCTGAACGCTTCCCTGAGGGCTTTGCATTTATAGGCTTATAGAGCTATAAGGTTCACCATGGTAACATGAGGGGCGCAATTTTGAGAGATTGTTCTTATTTCCAACACCGAGACCCTTCCAATATGATTGAGGGATGCAAGCTGTCGTGAACAGGAAAATCAGTATTATAATTTAATCCAAATTTTCAAGTCTAAAGATATATCAAACATTTAACTCTAGCAATGTTACTAAAATGTTACTGAAATGTTACTAAAATGTTACTAAAATGCTACTAAAATGTAACCAAAATGTAACTAAAATGTTAACAATGTTACTAAAATTTCAGCTGAGTTTGACTACAGACGGGAGTGTGCCCATGGTGTATCGGAATCCTATCGAGCTAGATGACGAACAAATACAAGAACTTTGGTTAGGTAAGTTATTTTGCTTTAAGGCTTTAGTCTAATATAGTTTTAGTCTGATAAAGTACAAAATTATAAAATAAAAAAATTGATCGAGTTTTTTGTGTACCGTTGTTACCAATACCAAGTGTGACCAAATGAGCATATTATGAAAAGCTCTTCCCACCACGCGGGGCTTGTAACAAACTTTCTTACAATACTATTCTTAAAAACATTTATAAGAATCATTTTCAGATCCTGTCGCAATAAAGAGCATTGAAATGACAACCGAAAACCCTAGCTATCCGGTCACCAACCTCTATGATGGAAACTACACTACTTTTGCAGAGAACGAGGGAATAGGTCAGCCTAATGGATTCAGCATAACGATCTTCCTACCTTTCACAACCAGAATATCCATGATAAGGATTATTAGTAGGGATGACGAGTGTTGCAAAGATAGAATTGTGGGATTTAGTGTGTTCATTGTGAATAAGGACGGATCAAAGATTAGCGTTGGAACAATAGCGGAAGAAAAATCATACTACGAATTTTTCGAAGAAGGAGTTGGTGATAAGATTGAGATAAGAAAAGAGGGAAATGTAGAACTAGTCAATCTGGCAGAGGTTGAAGTGTACGGTGTCTTACGACCAGGTAAAAACCGCTTATTTTCACTATGAACCACCTCTTGTGAAAAGTGAAATTTTAACGGGCTACACGACCATTCACGGTTATTGATAGTGTTTCCCTACCAAAGTGCCCGCCAACCCCCCTCCCCCCTCCCCCCACCTCCCTCCGAAACATCTCTGATCTTGTAAATCACCCTTAACGACAGATATCATACTTTTAGTTTTGAAGCAGCAACATGATTTTACCGGCCGGCCGATTCACTGCTTAGAGCTTATCATCATTCCAAAGAAGCATACTCGATTATAATTGATAAATTAAATCATTATTGATTATAATCATGATAACATACGTCTATGTTAATATGATAATGGGTTGCTTGCATGTTGCCTCCTAAACACATCATGTGACTCTTTAAGTACTGCAAGACTGTAAGATTAACCGCAGAAAAAAGGCATAATCCCATAAAGACCAGTTTAGTCAGCCACCCAATGTTTTTATTCAAAAAGGTAACAATCCAGGCACATGCGTCTAGCAGACAAAATCCAGGTTCGAGCTGATTAGTTCACAAGTGCAGGGGCTATTCACAGTGCCTAATACCCAAATGGCCCTGCACTAAATGGCTTAGTACAGTCTGCCAGCACTGTTATAGCAAATGAAACAGAAAAAGAAACTTAGAATGCCTCAAACGAAATGGATCGGGGAAAATTCTGTGATCTAATATAAATTTTAATTTATAAATAAACTTACAATGTGTCTTACGTAATGTCTTACGGTTGAGTTTCCTGACAATTCAAAATTTATAAACCCATAATTATCCTCATAAAAGCTTTTACAAGTAGATGAGCAGGGTGGCTGGGACTAGTTGAGCTCGTTATGGGTATAATTAAACAGTTACTGTTACTGCATTGGCACTGAGAATGATGTCTGGTGCCATGCCAAGTACACCCTTCCTCGCATTGAATCACCTTACTGACATCCCAGACACCATACTATTCCTGAGGGGCGAAGCAGCGAAGGGGGCAGCAAGGCTTCAAGCCTACGGCAGCCTCACTCTTGAAACTATCGCCCACAGGAAGGGAACTATCAAAAACCACACCACAATCAACAAACAATTCATGGAGGATCTCAACATACCACCTAGAGCCACAAGAGACCTCACAGCACCAACCATGATGCTGGGACGGCACTTCACCGTCACCACTCCTGGAACTAACAACACTGAATACAGAACCGCACTCCAACACACCATCGACAACATTACCAGTGAAACGATTACCTGCTACACAGACGGGTCTCTATCAGACTCCGGAAGTGGGGCTGGGTACATCATCAAGACTGACAACAACAACACCACCCTGGAAGAGAGATCATTCAAGCTCCCTGATTATTGCACTGTCTACCAGACAGAGCTCACTGCAATCATTGAAGCCTGCAAGTATCTCTCATCCTACACCAATTCACACATCATTATATGGTCTGATAGTCTCTCCTCCATACAAGCTATTTCCTCGCTCTCAACGAGGAGCAGAACTACTAGAGACTGTTATGACACCCTTAACGCACTCGGATCGAACAACACTCTAGAGATCCGATGGATCGCAGCCCATATTGGGTTGTGGGGAAATGAAAAAGCGGATGAGCTGGCCAAGCTTGGCACGACCAGCGAACTCGTTTTGAAATGCCCAATCCCTCAATCTTACATCAAACGACAAATCGACAACAAAGTCCACAGACTGAATCAGGATATCTGGTTAACGGATGGTCCTAGACACACCAAACTAACACTTGGCCAAAAGCACACCAAAATAATCAATAATATAAACACGTCACTCATCAACAATAGACAAGACTATAGAATTGAACCGCAGTCCACCTAATCACGGGCCACTGCGGCTTAAACAAACACCTCCACACCATCCGCAAATCAAGCACCAGTGCTTGTCCCATGTGCGGAGACGGAGAGGAGACTGTCTCACACTTTCTTGGACAGTGCCCAGCTATTGCCCAACTAAGAGGCAATACTTTCGGGACTACTACCTCTCGGTCAACGACATATTCGACAACCATCACATTACCACAATCGTCAACTTCACAAACCGCACCAAACGCTTAATAGTACCAAAAGAACTGGATCAGACTGGCGTAACTTAGCGCATCAACACATTACATATGCAGCCTTGCCTAACTGATTTATAATCTCATCTGGTACCAAAGCGCGGTATTCCCATTTAGATCATTACCACCACCGTCCTCCACAATTCACAGTGTTGTCCCCGACAAACCCCCCCTCATCCCAGAGGTAGGCAAAGCATCTTAATGCTATCCTCTAGTGGGCTTTCTATGCCCAGCCTCTCTTTAAAAAAAAAAAAAAAAAAAAAAAACAGTTACTGTGTTTAACAAAACAAATAACTCGCTTAATGTTGATGTCGTACACCGAGTTTCTATCTTTATTAATATCCCTTTCACCCAGCTGCAGTTGTCTTGTCGAACTTTGGTACGTATCGAGCTAGGGTCCATTTAGCGTACCCTAGTTCGACAGTCGTAGTTATCTTGTCGAACTTCACTACGTGTCGAACAAGAGTCCAGGTAGCGTACCCTAGTTCGACAAAGTAGAACTTTAGGGTTTGTCGAACTACAGTACGTGTACCTTCCTGGCAATTCAAGATGTATAATTCTAGAATTACCATCATAGAAGGTTTTACAATTGGATGGTCAGAATGAATGGGGCTAGTTGACTTGGTAATGAGCATAATTGATGCAGAGTATTCAAATTCAATAGTGTAAATTTACAACACATTGTGTGCGGAAAAGTGCGATTCCGCATCCACCACACTTACATGCTCTGAATCCTACCCACTCTTTTTCCTTCCACCATCCTAGCTAAAAAATAAGGCTTTTCCCATTTTGCGCTTCTGGTGTTCTACAATCATACCCCAACAGTGACAATGTTCAGTATGTCCAGGACCAGACTCTCTGAATCCTGGACCAGGAGCTTGCGAGCCTGTGTGTTTAGACTGCGATAAGGTTACACGTTACACTTATCTAGGAGATTCCAGAAGCATCACATTGAGAGGAACTCAGTCTCCAGTGGTGAGTGTAGTTTAGCTAGACTGACGATTTACTATTCATGGTATTGAGAAAAGCTTCAGCACACTTGAACACTGAGCGCAGTTAAAAGTTAGGCTAGAGTCTCTAAGTCTATAGTCTAGTAGAGGTTTACTATTCATGACTATAACAGGTATTCCAGAGAACTTGTCTACACCGAGACAAAGAAACTTCCGGTGTAACTAATTGAGCCAAGAAATTTCCCCCTTCGTGTCTTTAGGGGACAGTGCGTTCACTCTATGTTCTGATTTTGGAGATAACAATTCGTTGGTATAACTATAGAACGTTACGTAGTGTGTGTAACGGTTTAACATGCATATGTCACACTGCCACACGTGCGTTGAACGTGACAGGATCGAACGTGACAGACATAAAGGTGCTCATGAAGTGTAGGATGCCCTAGGATGCGGATGGTTTGATCTGGACCACGTGACTTATCATATCACCACAGAAACGTGTAGAGGAGTACCAGGAGTTGTATCAGATATGAGAACGACCAGCTCCTTCACATTGTAGGAGGGGTGATCTGGATCACACTCTCACGGCCAGGGGTGTAGGAAGCGGGGGGGGGGGGGGGGGGGGGGGGGGGGGGGGGGGGGGGGGGGGGGGGGGGCCATCGCCCCCCCATGAAATCTGGGCAAGGGGCCAAAAAGGGCCAACTTTTTAATTTAGGTTTCTGAAAAAATTTTTCCCGAAAGTCCAAAATTTTCAAAGTTTTCTTGGAAACTACTTTTTTTCATGTTTCATGCTTTTTTTTCGGTTTTCGAAGTCCGCACCTACCCTTCGATATACGATTTTGGACTCGAGGGTTCCCCTTTGTAATGCGATCTCGGAAGGCAGGCCTCCCCTTCGCAATACGAGCTCGGAAGCGGGAGCTCTGCTTTCAGAGGTACGTATCGAAAACGACTCGGACCGAAAATGTTCTAAGTCAAAATTTTGCAAAGTTTTTCTGGAAATTGCTTTTTTTCATGTTTCATGCTACCCTGATCATTCTGAGCCGAAAATATATTTTTCGGTTTTTTGAGGTCCGTACCTACATTCGGAAGGTTGTGGATGTGATACTGATTGGTTTCATATACTAATTATTTGGCCCACAGATTTGAAGGAAAATACTCGAATTTGGTCCTCAGATTTAAAGGAAAATGTGCAATTTGACGCAGAGAACTGAAAAAATCGCGATTTGTCGTGAGGCCAGGATCTGAAAAATCGCGATTTGTCGCGGCAGACGTGAAAAATCGCGATACTGCACATGCTGCGAAATTCAGGCTTTGGCGCGAAGCGCCAAAAAACTTAGACTGTAGTGCGAAGCGCCAAAAAATATTTAGAATTTGGCCCCCCCCCCCCCCCCCCCCCCCCCCCCCCCCCCCCCCCCCCCCCCCCCCCCCCCCCCCATGAAGAAAATCATTCCTACACCCCTGCTCATGCTCACGGCACACCGGAGATAATAAAAAGTAACATGTATCGTCGACCTCCTATATTCACTATAGCAGCCAAGCAATATAGCTGCGATTTGTAAAATATCTTAAGGAAATGATATAAAGATTAAATTTCAGTTCCAGTAACACTGTGCTTCAATGATGATAGACCAGCGCTGTTGAATACGCTGCGTTTTTATTTTATTATACGCCGGAGTAGGAATTTTCGAAAATAAACGTATAAAACGTACATTTTCTGCTCTCGAAGCTAATTATTATGACTGTTCAATACGGCAAAAAATTCGCACATGATATGTTAATAGGACATGCGCGGCATCTTTGAACTTTAAATTCTTGCTATCGCTAAATAATAAAACTGAAACCAAAAACAATTCCATATACTCTCTACGCTAAAGAGGGTGCGGTTCCTGCCGTATAAGGTCAAAAATGCGAACAATTTTCGTTAGCAACGTTGTGATAGACAAATACTTTTCACCTAACACAAACAACTTTTCGGAAACTTTCTAAAACCAGTTTCTTTAAAGTTGCCTTCCTAAATACCTAAAATACCTACCCAGCTTGCTTGAGCAATAACCGCTCTAAGTACTGGTAATGTGTTAATTTGTTAAATTCTTGCAAACATTGTCAATATCATACATTGCATTTTTGATAAACTTCATTCTTATCTACGGAATAATTTTTGTAATTTTTGAAAAGTGGTTCATCTTCACGGTGTAAATGTTTGCGAATTTATTTTTGTTGTATTTGATTTTTGTTGTATTTGATGTAATGGTGTTATTGGTCACAAGCGATCGATTATGCGGCACAAATTTTCGTGAAATGTTTCCTTTAAAAAAATGTTGAATATAAATTCCTCGCTAAAATTATTGTTTTACAGTACGTTGTTTGTGAAATGTGTATTAAAGAGGACCCTGGGCCTGGACCGATGTCCCAAATAATCACTCTTAATGGTACCTTAATGCATTCCTTACACAAAAACCTTTCTTTTTTTGGCTTTTTTTGTCGAAATGAGACCATTATTTTGGAAACGTAATGCGTCATTACGATGAACCAAGTCAGCATTACTCAACTGCTGTATAGGGCATTGCTCAACATTGCTCAGCATTGCTCAACTGCTGTATAATAAACTGTATATAAAGCTGTAAATAAACTGTATAATATTATAATAACTCGAACTACTTATAATCCTGTAATTGGACGACAAATTAACTACAATTTAAATAGCATAATATTTCTTTAAAGTATTTTTTCCGTAGGTATATTTAATATAATTTCACTTTTTTGTGTATTCCACAGAAAATTGAATTAAATTATTTATTTAACCCCAGACGAAGATTATCTTAAAATAATTTACTTCTAACGGGACGAAAATACTGCGAATATCATAAATCTAAGATCCAAATGAATGTAATATAATATCTAAAATAAAAACTAACCGGTCATATGAAAGAACACTAATTTCACAAATATATGTACATACCTATAGCTAGGTAGCCAATACTATTCTGCAGAAAAAGTGATCAACTATGTCATATACCGTTCATCTATTATGCAGAAAAGCAGTTATAAATAATATGTTACTTGTTTATAAAAATAACTGTTCTTTGTGTTTACATTTCAAGAAAATTGCTGTAATTTAATTACCTTGGGCGCAAATAAGAATTATTACAAGGTGAGACAATTAACGTAAGTCTAACCGACTTTAGATTTCATATCACTATTTAAATATTACTAAAACAATATCTAAGAACAAATGGAGGAGTTAGGAGTGCTTTATGATGCTTGCATTTTTCTAGCATTATCTATTGTTCAGTCGGTCTGGAGGTTAACCTTCTTTGTGTTGGTTTGTCAATCATTATTATATAAGCGAGCTATAAATAGCTTATTTTATTTCATTTCATTACAGTGTTTTATCATTTTCTCGCTCAGTTGCAGTTGATATGGTTTTTACTTTTTGGTTAATTTTTAGACTGAGCTGTTGCTGGACAACCCGGCAAGCATTCCAGTATATTATTATAGTATATTATTATTAATAATAATAATTCGACACGTACCCAGACATTCCGGTATGATACTGATATGTTGTGCGTACTGTAGTTCGACACGTACTTGCTGTAGTTCGACACGTACTGGCTGTAGTTCGACACGTACTGGCTGTAATTAGACAAACCCTAAAGTTCGACTCTGTCGAACTAGAGTACCTGGATTCAAGCTCGACACGTACCGAAGTTCGACAAGGGTGATTTCTGGCCATCTTTAGTTGTCGAACTAAAGTACGTGTCGAACTAGAGTACGTGTCGAACTATAGTACGTGTCGAACTAGAGTACGTGTCGAACTAGAGTACGTGTCGAACTAGAGTACGTGTCGAACTAGAGTACGTGTCGAACTAGAGTACGTGAATTATGCAGAGATATTGACACATTTAATTCACGTGATGGATAGTAATAACCTGCCTACATTTTTTTGCTGAACAATTCACCAAATATGCAGCCTTTAGGTACTCTCAGGTTGGATTATTCAACGGCGTATTATATAACGTTGCATTACACGGTCGAGTCGCGGTTGTTGAGTTTTATACATCAAATAACTTACAAGGTTAATGTATTACACCTGAATAAAAGGTTTTACAATTAGATGGACAGAATCCGCTTATTTTCCAATTGCGCTAATTAACAATTGAGTGAGAGGTCAGCTAAACACAAACTTGTAGTGATTAATTGTCCGCATCAGATCCACCTTCCATTAACATTACATAATGATATCTAAATATTATATATTATGAGCGTAGAGCATTTTGCATATTATATATATAGATATGTAATATATATATATATATATTATATATTACGAATAAAACGGCGACTGTTAGGCTGACCTCCGACTCAATTGTTCTACTTGTATAATAAAGCTCCCCTCCCGGGTAGAGCACTCCTGTAACTGGACATAATTATATATATATATATATATATATATACAGTGCACATAGTTAGTTATTAGTTGAACAGCATGAGATAAGTGGAAGAACAAACGAACGAATAGGCTTCAACAAACAAGGTGTACATTTTATTTCTCCTCTGTAGTTGCGATCATAATAATTGAACCGACTTTTGTTAAACAAAACATTTCCGGATGTTTGACATATTAATCAGTCTCAATAAATGTATATATTTGTAATTTTAGTTGTGAAGCAGTTTAAAATAGACTTAAAAACCGGTCGGTTCCTGTATACTGTACGTTTAAATATATAAAATCACTTAAATCTTTACTTTTAGGTTAAATGGGGGCACAAATATCCAAGCTAGCTGTCACCGAAATCCCTGATGCCTATATTGCAATCTCAATATGTTCCAGCTCAAAGATAAGAATCATGAATGTGACACCAGAAGTTAGAGAATTGCTTGAAAGACTTGACCAGGAAATAACAGAAAAATATGGATCCACTCGAGGTGCACTTGTAGAATACTTCGGTACTTTGAAAATCCACGTTGGAGACAGGCTTACATTTGGAGAAGGAGGTGGCAAGGACAGGTCTACTCTCGGGAAGTTCTTTGCTCTCCGTCTCCTGGAAGAAATGTACAACTTGGGATACAACCCGGTTACCAGCAGTGAGTTAGCGACACAGCATGATAAATCTACATGGTTCTTTGCAAAGAGTGCTCATGAAAACAGAGGCAGGGCTAGAATTTGTTGTATTGCTCCAGGTGGAACAATACGGAACAACAAACTTGTCCTGCTACATCATGATGAGCATATAAAACAAGCAGTTATGCTAGCTGTTGGAAATGCATGGCCGAGCTCATCCGGAGCTGAGGACGTTTCAGCTGCAGGTGAGACGCTACATGAGATTTCTTTAGGTGGATGCTGGGGTATGACTCATGAAGATGGAATGAAAACTCGAAAATTAATTTGCAGCTTGGTGGGGAATATGAGTGCGCTTAATTGGAGGCTTCTCGCTTCAACTAATCTGAAAGGGTCTGCTGACTCCCTCTACTTTATATACGATCAAACTTTTTCTGCTGACCCAAAGGATTTCTGTATGCTGGCCCTAGCTAAATCGGACAGGTTTAGGCTGATTAACTGCGACCAACTCCTTGAGCCTTTGGAGACGGCTATTACTGATGCTGGTCTTGTTATTCAAGAAAAACTGGATTACTACGGAAGCCATGAGATCAAGATTAAAGGAAATCCTTGGCGTTCTAATGATAGTGAAGCTATTACTGCACGAAGAAGTATTTCACGGATTATGGAAGTTTTTGAGCAGAATGGTTACAGCCCTCTCTACGCAATTGACGTTAGTCGTGGACTAACTGACAAATCCTCCATTCTCTTCCAGAAAACTACAACCCAGTTAACTGCAAATATGCTTGCCTGGCACTGACCGGTACGAATAGGCTGGCACTACTAGATTTTCCCGCTGATGTTAGTGCCGCTATGAAGGACTGTATACAACAATTCTACCCTACTGGTATCCACAAGGAGGTCCAATTACCAGACTCCAACCTACAAGTTGATGTTCAAGGAGATCCGTGGATGGCTCTTGGATTTGGTAAGGGTAGTGCTCGATTTCACATGAGAGCCGTGATGGGTAAAATGATGGCGGTTGCGGCCCAGCATGGCTGGCATGTCTCAATTTCAGCAGATGTTTCGGCGAAATTCCTGAAGGAAAGGACAATAGATGTTCACAGCCTCTATTTTGTGAACACACAGTAGGAAACGGTTTTTGAACAAAGACTGCTTGAATATTGCTAACTTTTTTATGTAAAATATGTCCAATAGAAAGATAAAAATTTAAGATAATGTTATAGGGAATTAATTTTTTTGTTAAAAACTTGTAACTTTTGTCAGTGTTCAGGCTACACTATGCATATGCGTCTATGCCCTGTGTTTTTTATGACTCTATTTTCCTCCTAATATTTTGTTTCAATGTTCTGATCGTTTGCCCACATCGAACTCTCGCCCTGACTCATGATTGTACATTCAATGGATGCTACTTCTAGATCTTCCTGGTGCACAATGTTCAGTGATGCAATATCCTCGAGTCGGAAAGTTATCCCGGGTTCATGAACTCCCAAAATCTATCCCATGTGTGTAGGTAAATCTTAGATCAAACTTCGCACGTTTAGTAAGGGGAAAAGTGGCATTCCGTTGGATTTGAATGTTCACAAGGATTTCTCAACGGAATATGGTAGTTAAGACCCCTACGAACATAATTAGACTTGTTGCCAATTTTGTATCTCAACAGAAACACCACTTTTACCACTTTTTACCACCTTTGTACCACCTGTCTGGTTTGCCAAATATCTTTAGTTGTGAACGTCGTAAAAGGCTGCAAATTAACCTAGAATGTTTATCTTATCAAGGAGTAAAACTTTTGTGTGAAAAATTTTTACATTGGACAATCAGCTAATTGGATAATTACCAATTAGTTAATCACCAAAAAAAGTGAAAATTTTTTATTGGCTCAAAATGATTGAAATCGTTTGAAACACGGAGAAATGTAGTTTTTAGAAAAACTTCAAAAATTTTTCACTTAAAAATTTTTTTCGAGACTTGGAAAAAAGTTTGAAAATTTAAAAATATTTTTTTCCGCCAAAAGTGATCGAATTGCATGAAACGTGGATAAAAATGCTTTGCAGAAAAACTTCGAAGATTTTGAGATAGGGGAATACTAAAATCATCAATATTTGAAGTTGGAGTTCAGTAAATCTCGACATATTTTAGTAATTAGGAATAGCTTAGCGGAAAGGGCCGAACCTGAAAAAGGTTAACCACACAATATTAGAGTTTCATAACTAATTACAATACAGCTTTTATTCCACAAATTCCACATAAAGAAACAGCACAAAAGGACCATTTAAGATCGAACCGATTTTACCTGCTGTACTATCATTTTATTGATTTCAATGATCAAAACCTCTGTACCGTCCACTGGGAGACTTTGGGGCCGAAAACTGATCCGGCCCCCAAAGAGGAGTCAGATCACGTCACCAATTAGTGACGTATAATTAGTGATGTGATCCATCTGTAGAATTTAATTGGCCCAGAAATAGGCTAGATACTGGGTAGAGTTCACATGTCAATTCTGTACAACATAGCTGTTCATTAAGAAGTAAACATGATCTGACTGCTCGACTCGTAGATCACATAAGGGACGGGAACTCTTGCTAAAGGGGGGTTCTCGTATCAAGGGATGTGAGACGTACGTGTCAAAGGCTTGCAAGGGGAGTGAGCCGATCTAGTGTTCTAGGTATAAATATTGGGTGATAGAAGGTAGTAGTATCGCATTTAATTCTATCAACAGTCATGCCTACCTTCTCCAAGTTCCTCAACGGTTTCAGAGGATGTAAACAGGTGCTTGATTCTGACGGATATATCTACAGCCGCAAGAAAAATGATGACACCGTCCTCTCCTCTGCTTGGCGTTGCCAGAAGAACAAATCCCTTAAATGTCCTGCCAAGTGCTATCTCGCTCTCACAGACAACAATCTTTCCCTTGGAAGTAAACCACACAACCACGATTCAGATCTGGCTACCCCACAGAGACTCGAACTCCTTACAACGCTCAAGAGGAAGGCTGCAGAACAACCCCTGTCGGCGACTCAGAACCTGATATCAGAAGTCCTTGCTGATGCTTCAACAGAAGTAAACCAGACGCTACCTAATATGGAATCCCTTGGAAAAGTCGTCCAACGAGCCAGAGCTTCTGCCTCCGGATCTGCCCAACATACCGAGTCGAAGACTTCTCTTGAATTCGTTCTTCCTCCCAGCTGCACATCTACGAGAAGAGACGAACCATTTATCCTCTTTGATGGGAAGACTGACCGAGATGTGAGAATCATAGCCTTCGCCACCAACAGGAACCTTCACACCCTCGCAGAATACAACAATTGGATTGCTGACGGGACAACCTATCAAGGAGCAACAGGTTGTTACAGATTACCATCTGGATCGGCTTGCTGTTGGAAAGACTCCTTCCAAAAAGAAGAGGATTTCCAGCAGTATTCTGTACGACCTTTGTTCCTTCTACACGACATACCCAACAAAGATTGAGTACTTGTTCGCTGTTGCGAAATACTTTGGTAATAATATTGAGTAATTTGTTGTATTCTGAAGTATTATATTATTAATCGATTTAACATTTTATAACCAGCCAATACATTGTCTCAATTTAAAACATGTTCACTTCTTAATTTGTAGCTTCTGTGTGCAGAGTTGTCATATGAACTTTACCCCAGATCTAGCCCATTTCTAGGTCAATTATATTCAATCCATGGATCACATCACTAATTATACGCCACAAGCTTCAAGCTTGCATGTTAATTACTTGATGACGTATATGGTGGATCATATCACTTCGGCCCCAAAGTCTGGCAGCCGTACCGTCAATCTTGCCAATCTATACCGGGTATACCTCTTATTTACCTCTATAATTAGACCCAGTTGTGCAAGAAATGCGATTTCTCACAGGGGTTTCTTTTAACTGTGCACTTTTTGTCACTCTCGCAACTCGCAAGAGGCCCGGTATTATAGGGGGGTATAGGAAGCAAGTGTAAATATACCTTCCATCATCCACTGTGCCCCCACTGTGGCTTTTTTGTATTGTGAATGCGCATGCCGCTTCGTTTGCTATGCCAGATACCTCGAATAACCCCCATATGTCATTGCCAGGGTCGGGATAGAGCTGGAGATAGCATTGAAAAGTTGCTAGAGAATAGCTAGATTTAGAGTAAACTGGTGGTAGCTGGGTGGTGCTAGCATGGATGTAGCAGAACGTAGCTACACGGGGTTTCATTGGAGTTGGTTATTTTAATGGCTAAAGAGTGCCGGAACTAAAGTTACTTAAGATTGCAGTTGAGGGCAGGGTAAACCACGGTGTAGTCAGGGACACAGAGCTACAGTGCAGGAGTACTGCAAGTGCAAAAGAACAGTGCAAAGTGATACAGTAATGCAACAGTAAAACGCCGAAGAAGGAGATAAGATTGTGGCTGCAGAGGAGGGAGAGGAGCCTGGAACCTGATTTTGTTTGGGTTGAAAGAAGAGTAGGAAGAAGAGTTTCCTGCCTTGGTAACTGCATTTTGGAAGAGGTGGGGTGAGAACTTATTTTCAAGCGACAAGGGTGGGCTGGGAAGCAAACCAGGTACAGCTATCCGACCTATTAAGATCACCGGTCCTGAGCTTAACAGCCTTTCATCAGAATCTGATGAAAACAGAGTGACTGACCCACCCTTTTTAGATTGATTGATCAAAGTGAGTCTCTTTAGCCCTCTTCTTCTTTAGAGCTTTAGGTTAGTGATCAAACTCTTCGCTACTCGCTCTTCACTGGATCTATCAGGACAGATTCACATCTTTTTAGTCTCAACCAGCCTTAGTTTTCCTGTTTTCATCATGTAGTAACGTTCTGCTACCTCATTTTAGCACCACCCAGCTTCCATCAGTTTCTCTCTAAGTCTAGCTTCGTCGGCGTTTTACTGTTGCAGACTGGTATCACTGCACTGTTCTATTGCACTTGCTGTACTCCTGCACTGTAGCTCTGTGTCCCTGACTACACGTGGTTTACACTGCCCCTCAACTGCAATCTTAAGTAACTTAGTTCCGCACTCTTTAGCCATTAAAATAACCAACTCCAATGAAACCCCGTGTAGCTACGTTCTGCTACATCCATGCTAGCACCACCAGCTACCACCAGGTTTACTCTAAATCTAGCTATTTCTAGCAACTTTTCAATGCTATCTCCAGCTCTATCCCGACCCTGGCAATGACATATGGGGGTTTTCGAGGTATCAGGCCTAGCAAACGAAGCGGCATGCGCATTCACAATACAAAAAAGCCACAGTGGGGGCACAGTGGATGATGGAAGGTATATTTACACTTGCTCCTATACCCCCCTATAATACCGGGCCTCTTGCGAGTTGCGAGAGTGACAAAAAGTGCACAGTTAAAAGAAACCCCTGTGAGAAATCGCATTTCTTGCACAACTGGGTCTAATTATAGAGGTAAATAAGAGGTCCGGTACATCCAGATACCCGGTATAGATTGGCAAGATTGACGGTACAGAGGGTTTTGATCATTGAAATCAATAAAATGATAGGTACAGCAGGTAAAATCGGTTCGATCTTAAATGGTCCTTTTGTGCTGTTTCTTTATGTGGAATTTGTGGAATAAAAGCTGTATTGGAAATTAGTTATGAAACTCTAATATTGTGTGGTTAACCTTTTCAGGTTCGGCCTTTCCGCTAAGCTATTCCTAATTACTAAAAATATGTCGAGATTTACTGAACTCCAACTTCAAATATTGATGATTTTAGTATTCCCCTATCTCAAAATCTTCGAAGTTTTTCTGCAAAGCATTTTTTATCCACGTTTCATGCAATTCGATCACTTTTGGCGGAAAAAAATATTTTAAATTTTCAAACTTTTTTCCAAGTCTCGAAAAAAATTTTTAATGTGAAAAATTTTTGAAGTTTTTCTAAAAACTACATTTCTCCGCGTTTCAAACGATTTCAATCATTTTGAGCCAATAAAAAATTTTCACTTTTTTTGGTGATTAACTATTGGTAATTATCCAATTAGCTGATTGTCCAATGTAAAAAATTTTTAAACACAAAAGTTTTACTTCCTTGAAAAAACTTTCGGGGGGGTTTTAATTGCGCCTTGTACGACGTTCACCCTAAAGTTTTTTTGCAAACCGACAGGGGGTTTCCAAAGGGGGAAAAAGGGGAAAAAGTGGTGTTTCTTTTGAGCCCAAAATTTGGGAAAAACAAGTCTAATTATGTTCGGGGGGGGCCCTTAATTACCATTTTCCGTTGAGAAACCCTTTTGTGAACTTTCAAACCCAAAAGGGAAACCCAAAATCGACCACTTTTCCCCCTTTCTTTTACTTTTGCATTTTTTACAAAACTCACAGATATACTGGGGGGGGCGCGCAGCAAAAACTTGAGGGGAATTGTTTTAGCGGCTTACAAAAAACCCGAAAAATTGTTTTTGTGACCGGCCGAAAGGGCCCAAAAAAAAGAAAGAACTGGTCTTCCGGAGCAGTCACGGGGGTTAAGAACCCCTTTCCTTTTCCGGGAAACCTTTTCCCCCATTCGGAATTTTTTGAATTTTACTTTTCCCGACGTTACTCATCTAGGTCACATCACTTACTTATATTTTACATCAAAAGATCTATTAAATCGTGTACTCACAGTAGCGATATCAGTAAGGTCCACAGGTACACGTGTGGGGCAGTAGCAGACATGGATTTCAACTGTTCTATCGTATCAGTCAGAGTTGCACTGAACAGGAGGGTTTGTCTCTTTTGGGGAAGAGAGCCGAATATGGTGCCCAGATCTGATTCAAAACATGGGTTCCAGTAACCGATCAGCTTCGTCGAGAACCTGTTTGATTAAATAATTTCGTTTTAATTAATTAATTTCGTCAGATAAAATAAACGCTTAAAAAATATATTCTGGATAAAATCAGATAATTCTGGGAAAATGTATACATTAAGACAAATTTGTTCACGACACAAAAACTGAAGAGAAAAGCGGTAAGAAAAAACTAATTCTCTAGAAAACTGACCAAAAACTTGACTTTGCCCAACTTGAGACCATCTCCCGAGTTGAGTGATCCGCAAGTCTGCCTGGTGTTGCTATGACGATGTGAGGTGATCTGGACAGTTCCATACTCTGTGTTAACATGTCCATTCCTGTAGAAGAAGATACAATAGTATATAGACACGTATAGTAGACATATACGTATTTCCGGAATGAACATTTTTATTTCCTTTTCATTTCACATTTTCAGATTTGAGCGCCCCAAATTTCACTGCTTTGACTGAATTTTTCTGAGTGATCATCTAGCAACAAGCATGGTCACTGAGGATGACACAAGACACGATTGAGGTACTGGAAAGTTCTATTCCCAAAAAAGCTTTTATTTGATAAACGGAAAATCTTGATAATGATATCAACAGTAGTATCAAAAGTCAGCTCGTCGATAATTTCCTCTACTCTGATATTCTTATATTTTAAAAAAACTTTAAAAAAACAAACCTCCGATGACAGTGGAAACACGTATGTTGATGTGTGCTCCAATCGCCACAAAACTGGTCCTTTATCTGAAACGCTAACTCCCTGAAATACACGTGATAAGAAGCAGACTATTTACAGAAACTTTCAGTCTGCAGCAGTGGCGTTCGGAGGGGGGGGGGGGGGGGGGGGGGTGGGGGGGGGTAGGTGGAGGGGGGTGAGGAGGTTGGGGGGGGGTCGTGGTGGGGGGGGTTTTATAAAGCCACATTCCACCACATTCCACCACACTCGTAACTATGGTTACCATGCAAATTACCTTGTAGGAGTAAGAACTAGGCACATCTCCCAAATGGATCCATCAATACTCAATATATCAAGAATGGGAAGGGCAAACGCAGCTGTTTTCCCTGATCCTGTCTTAGCACAGCCAATACAGTCTTTACCTGTGAGCAATGAGGTAAACAAGGGAAAATAAATTTAAAAGTTGGAATTTTGAAGAGAGCTGTCGAGAAAAATCGATGCAGCTAAATACTCTTCGTCATAACATTGTAGCTTTAGTGCTACAAATATGTCTTAAATTAAACTATAACCGATTAAGTTTATTAAAAAATGTAAAGGAAAAAAAAAGAAGAAAACAGAATTGAAACAAACCAGCTAAGAAGCAGGAACACAGTTAATTTGAACAGGAGTGGGTTGCTTCATTCCCAGACCTTTGCACTGTTGAACCAACCATTTCTTTATATCCTAGACTCTCGAACTTTACTCTGGTTTCAGACATGAAACCCACTACCTCACCACACTGACATTCTATGTGATATAATAAATGTTAATTAGTTTATTATATTTATTCAATGTATGTATTTATTGTATATTTCTAAATTTATTATTACTAAACATTTTTAGGCCGAGTACTGCCTCCGGGTGGATCTCCTCAATCAATCATAAAATTAAAATTTCGCTTGTAAGTTTAATTCATTCTAGCAGGTGAGAAAAAATAGTTACTATGAAGAAGTTTGCTATTCATTTTTGTTTCGCCATCAATTTAGAAGCATCAGAAAATATTGATAAAAAGGCAAACGAATTTTTCCAGAGATCAATCATAAGTTGTACAGATAAGCTTTCAGATATGGGGAAAGCATTAGAACTAACTCTATTTATAAATATTTGGGTTGTATACTAATCAGTCGCAAATATAATCAATAATTCTGGCCTTAATATCAGTAAAATATAAAACAAGATTAAGAAATTTGAAATACAGCATAGTTTTTCACAACAATTTTCATATGTTTTGTTAGTCATAAGAAAACTTGAAGCTAATCTTAGAGGAATGGAAGTTATGTACGTATACGTTAAAAGCGAAGTCACAAAAAATTAAAGCCTTAATTTTAAAGAAAAGTAAATCAAGTGGCCAAAGAACAAATAGCGATAAATTTTAATTCTAAATATAGCAATTCGAATGTATCCAAGGAGAGGCAGTAGTTAAAAAAATAGCAGCAGCAGCAGCAAGGAGCATGTCTACATCTTGCTTTCAATTCCTTTCTTTACTTTGCATTTCAATTTTCAGTTAATCTATAACCACAACCAAGTCTCTCAAAAATATCATGTAACACTACAACGTAAATGTAATGACAAAAACTGTCATAATTTCTTGTACTTGGTAGAGTAATCTTTAGGACTGATTACCAGACCACGCCCTTTTCTGGCACCTCTGGGAAACCGCTCGATGAATCAATCATTTCCTGCTTGTTTTCAATAGGCCAGTTTATCTTGTTGTTGTTTCCTGCGGGTGGAAATGGTTCAGACGGATATAATAATCAGATATTTTTAAAGTTTTAAAGTTTTTCCAATCTTGATTCACTCACTATAAGAGTGCAATTGTTTATTTCTCCTCTAATAGCTGACAAACCCTGCCCCCAAATCAATCATAATGTGCTTGTTTCTGTAGAAAAACATAACATGCAGGGATCATACAGCTCGTACATTTTGTTTGAAATCAGGAACCTGAAATACCAGCTATTGATTAAATACTAATTATCTCAACTGTTGTATTGGTTTCATTGGTACATGATCAAAAATTATAACCACTTCAATATTCACAGATTTAAAAGTTAGATTTGTAAGAATTTATTACAGAAATTATGAGACATCCCACTCAGTGATATCTACCAAGTAGATTTGTGCAAAAATTTCTGATCTTGTCTGCAATAAACCCTACGTGTTTCGTCCCTCTTCTGCATGTTGGATCCAACGTGACCGTACTGGAAGTTGCCAAATAATCCCTTTATATAGATTTTTTCATCAACGGAGCTGTTTCCATTTAAAAAATAAAACAATTGCAATTAAACTGTTATCTTTTATGAGAAAAGACAATTTTTTTGAGAAAAAACAAGAACTTTTAAAAAACTTATTGGGGTACTAATAGCATTTAATTTTCATCTTAGTAATGGGACAAGCACAAGTAATGGTGGGTTACTCCAACTATAACCTAAAAACAATGACTCGTCTTCCTCTGACAGGATTGCTTTGGGCAACTTGCCAGCCGTTGTGTAAATGTGGAAGATGTACGACATGAGAAATCTAAAGCTGCAATTTAGAAATTATATTTAAAACTGTCTACAACATATGATGATGTACCCGGACAATATCGGGCCAAAACCACTATCCACAGCTAGTAGAGACACAAATTTTTTTAGAGACACAATTTGAATTTTGATCTTTATTACAGATTATAAAAATCATATATAAACTATAAAAAGCCGCGTTCGGGTGATTGCCTCAACTTGGCTTGGTAAAATTCAGTTTACAGAAGCGAAGGCGGCAGCTCAAAAGCCCCATGAACCTCGGAAAGTCAAGGACGAGTGCCAATGTGGTTTTTCGAACCCTTTTTGCCCTTTTTCTGTGGCCAGATGAGCCCCCGCCCTGCGCTTAACGGGACATGAGGGTTTTTTTTTTAAATACTTATTTTAAAATTTAAGCATAATTCATTTTTGGGTTTTACTGAGACTTGCTTGTCTAAAATTCAAAGTCAAAAAAAAATTTGCAGTTAGAAAAAAAAAACACCCAAAATTTCTCTTTAGGTTGCTTAAGGCCCCAAAGTGGTCAGATCGTCTAAATAATGCCTCCTATTTCCGGATTTACAGACCTCGAAAATTTCGACCAAATCGTAGAACGTGTTGCGGCGTCGTATGTAGTGTTTACAATGAAAAAAAGTGCACTTATAAATCTGAATCGGTTGCGGCGCGTGACGTATATTGCTCAAAAGCGCATTACTGCGCCAGAAACCGGTGGTACCGTAAACACTTAGAAATAGAATAAATCACAAGAGACACAATAAAAGTAACATCACTATCAAAGTAATGTTAAAAATGATACAATAGCCACTGCTTTACCAGATTAATCCCATAAACACTATATTTCCTACAGAAGCCAACCGATCAGTAAATCGAACATAGCAATAGAATTTTACGTTTCTACTTTGAAAGATTTCTTTTTCTGATCTCTTATATGAATGATGCTTGTCTTTGTTAAAGTGTTAACATCTCTATCCGCATCTATTTGTTGGCGGCAAGGATTAGATACGATTCCGCTGTCCGAAACAAACTCGTCTTACGACAGTGTCTTTCTGATAAACTGATGTGATCATATTAAACATTGCTGGAGTTTGCAGCGTTTCTCAGATAAATTAGACGACACATAGTCATTGATACTTAAGCGTTCGTCAACACGAGGTACATTCAGGTAAAACATCTCCCTGCTCTCCAGTTTTTAAAAGGTCCGTACAGCGTCAATACCTGCAACTCATTAAATGCAGCAATTGTGTTGTCGTGCGTGGACACGTGTCTTTCCATTTTAAACCCGTGCCTAGAGAAGGTTTAAACTTAACATACAGCTTCGTATTTACCCATCAAATTGTTTCACATTCACCCACAGAGTTTTGCTGTACCTCAAACGCATGTTTGTGATATCTACCTAGCTTGCTATAGTAGATATTTTCCGAGACTCTCAGGGTTAAGAACAGGTCACTTTGTTCATTTTGCGAATCAGGAATTAAAGATCGATGTGCACAGATCCCTGACGATTTTTCGTAGATGTCCACAGATATATGTTGCGAAAATCGACGAAGAACCTTTTATCTTATCCTGAATCAAACTATCCTTTTTCGTTTTCTAACGTCTAGGAAATCGAATTGTTTTTAAAGAAGAATAACCTCTCATACTCCTTAAATTAAATCGAATAATATGTATAATAATTATATTTGCGAGCAAAATTTTTCACACAAACCTTTCAACCTGGCATATGAACCACAATCTCAGTCGCATTTTCAACAAGACAACATCAGTCCACTTGATTAGGGTACTAAATGAAGATAGTCTCCACATTTTCTTAGTTTCTAATCGATAAGCCTAATGATATGCAGTTGTATCTGGCAATAAACTCACCTGTAAAACACCATGATCGATTTAGTAAACATACAGATTTAGAGTTTGGAGGGTTAGTGGAAATCTTGAGCAAAATCCATCAAACATACAGAACCGTAGACGTGGTACAGGTAGTATGTTTGATTATTTTAGACCCGCTCATTGAATCTCCTAGATATTTTATTTTTTATGTTATAATTCATATGTCACTTTCGCTAATCACTACACAAATGTCGGGTAAGTGGGGTGGCTTTTTCGAGGGTCTCTTATGATTGCCGCGCCTTTGTACCAACAACCCAGTTCCAAGAAACTTGTGCCGATGCTTTACAGTTTATTTCTTTTTATAATAGCAAATATGTATTATCTAGGAATAATTACAGTTTCGATGGTTTAATATATATTTGCCAGATTTTCAATCCCAAAGAACTTAAATTGCAATATTTACTGGTAGAACCCGGCAATACACTCAGGGAAGCATAATTTGGTTTTTTTGGATGAATGGGTTTTTATGATAGTTTTAGTAAACCCTGGAATTGTAACCCAGGCCGACTCCCCTAGGTGTTAGATTGGATGGTAATAAATTGAATGTTTACTTTCAGAATGTTCAATGTCTCATCCCTTTTGGTGAACTGAACAATGCCCAACCAATATTGATACAACTAAATGTCTTGAAGTGTCACTTATCTTAATGAGGCTAAGATAGATTGCAATACTTAACGGAAACCTGGTTTTAAGAGTTCTATTGGCTTGATAGTGCATTTCTGCAACCCTGACGATATAAGATATTTCGCTCTGATAGATCGAAGAAAAACTCATCCACCATATCCTAGCTAATCCAACCCGGATTAGGGAGAATTGGTGGAGGGGTCTATGATTGCATGAGAGCAGACCTTGATCTAACTTCAAAGGAAGTTCATCTCAAAGTATGGTGCAGAAATACATGCTGTGGAATTTTAAGACACCACTGGATTAAGTTTGGTTGTATGCACATGTATCGTGTTGGTACACTGGGCTCCGCAAATCATGAAAAAATTGTTGATTCCATTTGAAAACTCTTCTCATAAAGAAGAGAGGACTGAGTAAAGTCTTCATACTAGAGATTTTTAACCTACGCGGAAGTTTCCTGGTCACCCTGGCCAGCTCCTGTCCTATTGAGCAATCCTTTTGTTGAATCTTTTTGTATCTGTGTAAATAAAATTCCGTCGCATTATCTTTTAGCTTATTTCAATGACTGTGCCTTCACTGCTTTATTTTGTTTCTAAAAAGTAATATCAAGTAAAATAAATAAATAAATTCTGGCATCTTGGGACAAATTATCACCACACCAATGACGAATTGAACATGTCAAGCAATACAGTTTAAATTTGCATTAAAATACATGTATGTGCTAACATGAAAGTCTAACAGTCTTAATACAGACTAAGTTTGAACATGATTTTACCGAATTTCAGAAATTTCCTCACTGCTTACTGTCACAAAAAATGATGAAAAATACCCTTATTTTCTGTGACGTCCGAAATTTGACGGTTTTTGTTTAATTTCGCCATATTTTCGGACCGCCAAAATTTCGGTCGTCGCAAATTAGGCCACCATAAATATGTCTTGTAAGGAAGACTGTGGAATGGCACCGTCACAAAGTTGTCTATTAATTGCATTTACAGGCGCGCGCGGTGCATTTTGAGTAGAGAAAGGGGCAAAATCCTTTGATTTGTATATGTACGTAAACGCTTCATTAATTAAATGGCGTGGCGCGCATTGTAGTGTCGATAACAATATGAATATGAAGAGTACGATTTATTGATTATTCCACATTTAATTCCTTTTTGGACAACACATGACCTATAGCCTGACACGTTCTCTAGATAGCGCTGACAGACAATTCGAAACCCTTACCTTATACTCAGCTCCTGTCCTCTGACTTCAACCCTTACCCTTACCCAATCCCAGCATCCGACTCCAGCATCTGCTAAATCCCTAACCCTAACGAAAAATGTGCCTATTTTCTTACATAGTCATGACTCATGTTGTTACGTGATCTAATCTGTAGTCAATTTTTCGCCGATAACACGTCAAAGAAGCATTTTAACCCTATGTCCATGTCATTTGTGATGTGATTCGGAATCAGCTTTCAAAAATACATCGATAATTGTTGTTGGTTCTAACTGTACGGGCCACGGGGGCCTTTCAGACAAATTTTGAAGTTCCAGTGTAAAGCTATTTTAAGCTGTTAGCACGCTCGTTTTTCCCTCCTGTTTAATGTTTTTAGTCCTAACTGCAACTGGTCCTTTTCTCTTATTGTAAGTTGTAACACTTTTTTCACTGTTAACAGTATCTATTTAACGTCTCTATTTTTCAGTTTCGAAGAGTACTATCAATACTATCTCTGATTGCCGACGAGGTAGAATTTCACGCTTTAGAAAAACAATACAAAGTCAACGTTGGAGGCATGAACGTGTTTAACTACCTAGCTTTCTGCGACGACATTTACGATATAGCAAAACTTAATAAACTTGATTAGAGACGTACAAAATTAAGAAATCAGATTGAGTTGTCTTTAAAATAACCTTCAGAGACACTGAATTTTAAATGTTCTTTGATAGAATTTATTTTTACAGTGTGAGATATTAAAACACCTGCTTGGCGGTTGTCAGCCTTATCCATTAACGTTGCACGTAATGGTTATGATTATTTTGAATTGAAGCACAGCAGTACAGCAATGGGAAGTAAAACTTTATTCTGTGCTAAACGGAATGGTAATTTTTGAGATTTTATCCGACATTTATATTAAATATGTTTATGTCTGTTTTAAGCTGCCTATGATTTTTAACAAATGTAAAAAACCTGCGTTATTAAAATTTTGATAAATCGAATCAATTATATTCCATATAATACGATGATAACATAACATGCACAAAAGTCTTGTGAAGCAAAGTAAGCCCCTGAGCTAACCAAAATAACACCCTAAAATAACGCTCTAAAATAACACCTTTGTTGTTTTGCAGACTTCTTAATGGGCAATATATAACTTCGTATTAGTAAACGATCTCAGGGGCTCCCCTTCAACTGAAAACAATATTTACTAATAATGTTGCAACATAAATACAAACTTCTGCTCAGTCAACTGGATTGTGACCGAGCAATGGGACTGATCATAAACGATATGTAGCATATAGGAGCAAAGTATTCCATAACGTCAAGATCATGAACGTCAAGAAAATTCAAGGTTTATTAAATGGATAGATAGATTCAGTCATGAGTCATCTTCATCAAAGATGTAACGGACATGTGCATGATCTTTCAGTTCTTCTACCAACCCGAGCATTTCTTCATTATGGTCCTTTGTAGTTTCACCTTCGTCCGGGTACAACATCAAAAAGCAGTGAACTCGTGCTCTTGACATGGCTAGGTAAAGTGCTGGAAGGTCATTGTCAAGATCTCCCCACATCTGATGAAGCACAATCACTGCCGGCCACTCGACAGAGTAGCTAAACACACTGTCACACAGTGCTATCTTCTGTTTATCTTTATGGTTGCTTACAATGTCTTTAACTAATGATTCAACATCGCTGTTCGAAGAATTGTAAACTACTCCCAAGTTAGTTAGAGGATTAACTTTTTGAACCTCCTTCGCTTGTGAACTGGTTGCGGGAACTTCTGGTTTCTGAGTTTGGTTTGTGAGTTTGGTTTGTGAGTTTGGTTTAATTTATCCAACTCTGTCTTTAATAATTCACCGATAGTATCAAGGTCATAATTATTTAGAACATGTATAACGGTCTTAGTTCCATGAATATAATGGCCACGAGTTTGTTTGGGTAAAATCATATCTACAGGGAATCTGTTTTGTCCTTGCTGATCATATCTAAGGATGAAACGATCTCTGATTACACATAATATATTGGACAGGTCGCATGTGTTCCTAAGATTCATTGATAAACACTTCCTTTGCTCGTCAGACAGAGTTTCTTTTAGGTTTTTAGCTAGTTCTCTTGTATACCGTTGGCCTAAATACCTCCAGCCTTGTACCATGTCACATGCAATCCATACGACTTTGTTCTCAGCCATCTTCTTCAACTTGTCTATAAAGACACCGTACTCCCCACCTCTAGTGCTGTAGTACAAAACCTTTTGAGCGTCATCTAAAAACAAGTGAAACTCTCCACTGAACTGATCTATTAACTTTGCAGCACGCTGATGATCTTTGATGTCAACAATAATGACTTTAATGTTTCTATCCAATACTGCTCTGTCGATTTGTTGTTGATTTATAACCTCAAACCGAATATGAGCCTTTGTTAATGCTGAATGATAAAGCGACCCCGTTTTCTGCAAATCGGTTCCGTTTCCTGCAATACTTGAACTTCTAAATAACATAATTCTGGAGTCCCTATCTGATTCTAGCATTAGTTTTATTACCTTTCCGCACATAATCACAGTTTTTCCAGCCCCAGCGGGCCCGTTTAACCACATCAGGTTTTCACTTGAATCAAGTACATCTTTCTGTTCAAAGATTTTGTATTAATATAAAAGTAGTTAAGGTTATATTCGATATTTCCAATTTATTTATTGTTTACCTGTTATGTATGACGTATGTTTGCGATTAATTGGTGGATGGATTATATGGCCTAACTGTTCCACTGTTTTTATCTAGATGTTTCAGCTTAGAGAGGATCCACTGCTATCATATCGAATAACCATTAGACATCTATATAAGTCAAGGTTGTCAAAATAATAACTAAGATACACTAGCTTCTAGTATTTTAAAATTATAAGTTATAGATTATTAGTTTTCATGACTGGTAAAACTCATACTTTACATGAGATTAGTCGCCCAATATCATTGGGAAGGTTAGGAGCGATAAGTTAAGCACGGAAAGATGCTCAGATCAGGGGAAAGAAGTTTATTAAACTTACTTTTCAATATAAACTTCAGGGAAAAATGCTTGCACGATCATCCAGTTTATTTAAAGATTTGAAATATGGGGTCGTTCACATAATACGTAATCACTTTTTGGTCAATTTTGACCCCCTCTCCCCCTCCTTAATCAGTTTTACATATAGCTACTGTGTCAAAATTACACTAGCGTAATCATTTAAAAGCCCCCCTCCCGCTCAGTGATTACGTAATATGTGAACGACCCCATATGTCCATAATCGTATAAATCTTTACCCTTCTCTGGGTATAAAAGAAGTAAGAACAGAGCAGTAAACACTGATAAATATTATTAAGGAACGCTCCATTGATGTTTGACCTTATAAAATATGTTTTGTGATCTATAAAAGAAGATCGTTCAGAAAAATCCATGCCATATATTTATCATTTTATGAAACATCTTCAAAAGCAGTGCGAACTGCAAATTCAATATTTTAAAATGCGTGCACGACCCTTCAGATTATCTAAAATATCTGAAATATGTCCATAATCGCCTAAATCTTTACCCTTCTCTGGGTATAAAAGAACAGAGCAGTAAACACGGGCTCTGGATATTTCTAATTGAAGTGTGATCAAGTCTTTCTCAATGTACCTGCACACTTTGTGCAATACAATTACTGCTGGCTACTCAGCAGAAAAACTCTTCCTACTGTGGCAAATTGCTATCTTATATTCAGAGTTAATACATCGTATAGAAACAACGTCTTTAATTAACATTCTTATATCTCTCCTGTCATCATTGTAAACGATACCCATGTCATAATAATTCATTTCGTCATTATTACACATTTCATCTAATTCATTACAAAATGCATGACCAATCGGTCCTATATCATAGTTATTGAAAGCATGTATGACGGGTATTGGCCCATGAATAAAATGCCCTTGTGCGAGGTCGGGTGATACAATTTCCAAAAGAACATCATCAAATCTCTCAGAGTCAGAAGATAGCCTAGACAGTCTATTAAATGTATCTCTTATCACATATAAAATATCGTACAAATCACTGCTAATTGTAAGACTTCTCGATAAATTTGCTCGCTGACTAGTCGATAGTTTGCGAACCAGTACATTAGCGAAATCTATAGTATACTTTGGGCCTAGAAATACCCAAGCCTGTGCAAAGTCACACCCTATCCATACACATTTATTTGACGACAACTCTAACAACAAATCTATTAGATCAGTACACTCTTCAGCTGTGCTACGGTACCAAGTCACCTGTACATCGTCCAAAAACAAATGACGGTCACTAACTCCACTGAGTCGTTCAATCAATTGTTGCACATGAAGATAACGTGTTATCTCGACTATGATAACTGGACGGTTGCTCTCTGCTACTCGATCATCAAAATTGCGATAGTTAATCACCTCGTATTCTACACTACAATTTTTCAATGCACTCTGATAATGTTGAGAGTTGTTGCCCTCTCCATTGTATTTAAATAACACAACTTTATTATTCGCGTCAGATTGTATAAGTTGTAACATTTTACCACATAATATTACAGTTCTACCTGCCTCCGCAGGTCCATTTATCCATTGCAGGTTTTCGTCTCTTTTGAAAACTACACTTTGTTCTATAGTGAGGTTTAAAATTCCAGCATATTTGCTTATGACATCAGGAGCTTTTACAACACCGGGATTTTGGTCACGTCTATTTCCTCTTTTAGGCTCGAAAGTAATGCGACCTTCCTTAAGTTGTTCGTTGATATCCAAAATACATCGTGCTAAACTGCACTTGGATTTATCACATGTTTTTCTGTCTGTGGCCCATATGGCTAGTAAAATGTTCCTTGCTTTCTCATGAGAATTCTGATTGTATCCAGATATTGGCATTTCTGTACTCGATATAACCGTTTCTTCAGGAACTCTTCTGACGGATGATATGGCCACAGATACATTGTCTTCCCACCAAGCATTAAAAGTGGATAAATCTTCTTCAAATATGATAGTCGACAGTTCATCATCACTTAACCGGAGTTCTGTCATCTCACTAAATTGGAACTGGTCTTTAAACCGTCTACTGAGATTAGGGTACGCTGTGAACTGAAGAATTTTAGCATCCTTGTCAATACATTTGATCAGTTCCACTACCTTGTTTCTCTGCATAGCTGACTTCCTGTACGTACCAATCAAATCCTGCAATTTACTAGTCGTACACTCTCCATCAATATTATTAATGTCCTTTACCTCGATAACAATGAAAATGTCCGCACAAATGATGATAAAATCGCATTCGCCTTCCGTGTTAAACGGATTCTTGCACTTGTTACACGTTTTTTTGTTCCTAACATGACTTTTATCACACAGACAATACTGATCGTGTGTGTATCTAAAGCTGTGGAGAACAATAGAGTTTCCATCTAACCCTAATTCTAAAAACCTATACATTTTGACTTCAGCCTCGTAGATATACTGAAAGAGTCTTTCATCTCTAAAGCTGGTACCAGGCTGATATTCATCCGGATATTTGTCTATGTAGGCCTGCTCTGGTGCTCTTGGAAGCATTGTGGGCTGGTTTCCAGCCGATGAGCAGTATTCTTCGAAAATTTGTTTCCCATTTTCCAAATTATATTTATCCATTGCTGATCAGTTGATATATCTGAAATGAAAACAGGTGTTTAAGGAAGTGATGCGGATTTAAAGAATCAAAGATTCTAGGATTATTATAGGTTCTTATTACTATCACACAGCTCTCGTGGTACCTCAGTACATAAAATATTAATTCTGAATGTGAACGAAATTTCATTAAGCTTCAAAAATGACGTACAAATTATTCAAAGTAGCTGTTTAGTGCTATAAGTATAGAATTATATTGGGTTCAAGGTTTATTTGTGTCATTTGTGCCAAAAATCCAATCTGAAGTAAACAAACGTATATTTACTGTAAATTTAATATTTACCTTGATGTAAAGAATGATGTTGAGCTTTACTGCTAATAGGAAGAAGTTAGAAACGCTGAATGATTGCTGACCTGGATCCAGTATCTAAAATATTAAACATATTGTTAATCACTAAGCAAGTGAATCTTGTTGTGATAACATATCATGATGTAAAAACTTGTAAAATAGTAAATTTAACCACAAAACGAGTAGTGGGAATTGCACAAAAATATTAATATAAATATTATAATTCTTTAAAAAGGAAGACTAATTCACACAATGCTAACAACTAACGTTAAGGCTAAATTTGGAAAGAGAAAGTACAACTATGGAAGAATGGTGGAGGGAACGTTACGTGGGTCTTTGGTCCACGGTGAGGAGTATGAAGTTGAACAGATAACTGACACTATTTTCTTATGGAGCTCGTCTTATATAGGTAACTTATTCTGTGACTTGTTTGCTAGGTACAACGTAACATTCACATTTCACATGACACACGGCACACCTCACGTCCTAATTTATGCCTACGTCATACCAATCCAGATTCTAGAACATCGGAACGCCCATAATTTAATAGCATGTGACACGTCATCAGATGACGATTGTAAATCACGATTGGAATGCTGATAGAGCGATTGACAAAGCTAGTAAATAAAGGGTAATACTTTTAAGCGAACATTATTACAAGTTGGCACTAAGCCGCTACTATGCCGCGAGAGTGCCGCCTGCATAGTGCCACGTGAGTACCGCCATAGTGCCATAGGGTGCCGCGAGAGTGCTGTCGGGATTCGGATGTATTATTGTAACTTACTCAGCCCGCTCAAGCTATTAATATTTGTAAATGTGAATCAGGAGTCATCATTCAAGACTAATATTGGAATATGGAGTAAACAAATGTATATTTACCTTAATGTAAAGAATGATGTTGAGCTTTACAGTTAATACGAAGAAGTTATAAACGCTGAATGATTGCTGACCTGGGTCCTGTACCTAAAATATTAAACATAATGTTAATAAAGTAAATCGTGCTGTGATTACATATCAAGGAGAACAAACTTGTAAATTAGTAAATTAAACCACAAAACGAGTATAATGAGAATTACACGAATAGTGAAATAAAACAGAATTGTTGATAAAAAAGGAGGCCTTATAAAATATGTTGTAAAGCAAAGGAACTCACTTGAAGTGTGTACTAGGTTCTTCTTGACTCGTAATAACACAGTTAGGAAGTAGATTCAATACCTCAGTAATGAAGCTTGTCACTTGTATACCACTGGATACCTCTGTCTGAAAATGTTTGCGATCATCAACGATCGTGAACATTCAACATCTTATGGTCAGCCTTGTTCAAACTATAAAGTACCTGACCTGGTCAGGTACTTTATAGTTTGAACAATAAAGATAAGATGATTATCATCATATTTAAATTACTTGTGAGTTTTTATTTAGTTTCCGAAAAAGGTGCTCAGCTGACAAGCAGAAGCATTAAATTGAATCAAATAGGTCAAAACGCTCGAATTAGTCGGACAGACGATAATTCGTGCACTGATGATTGGCACTGTTCCAACTTCTATCAGTGATTATTAACGGTATAGTATCATGAAACGATTTGTTTTATTTAAGTAAAGCTATCGATGGTAATTTTTGTACAGGTCACAAATCAATTAAGATAAGAATTTGGGTCCACATGATATGGTATGATATTGTTATAACCTACCAAGTACCAGATAAATATCAATATATTAACCTACCAGATATGTATCAAACGCCCAAGATGATCAACTTTAAGTCCGGAAATCAAAGAAACACAGTTGAAAATAAAGAAAGTGCGAGTATAAACAATAAAGAGAACAGCACGGTGAGCTCAAGACAAAGATTGTGAGTAGAATAATGTAATAATGTAATCAGAGAGGAATGCTCTCTCGTGAGTCACGTGGTACTATCACGTGGTGTCCGGTGACGCGCTAGAGTAGGCTTAGAATATTATGTTATGAGATTATATGCAAGTCACTTGAATACCACATGGGTAACAAGTCAGACCACGTGATGTACGCAGTAGAGTATAGTGTTTCAGGTCTTACGTCAGTGTTTGGTAAAATGCTGAGGTGCTCTTCAGAAAACGGAGTACTAACTACTATTACTAAATCGCTCTACACCGAAACTTCGAGATATTTCTGAAAGGGCCCCAGACAGTTCAAATCAACTTTGATAGATGTATTTTTGAAGAAAATATGGGTCACGAAATCCTCTCCGAACCTCCACGTGGTGTGGCCTGGTTGGCACTAACGGGTGGTGTGCTCTCTTGTTGAGTACAAAGGTTGGGACTTACCAACTCAAAGTTCCCATAGGAACCAGGAAGTCGACACTAACAGCTACCAAGCACCAGGAAATTCCTCTTTCAGATATCAGGTTACAAGATAGTACACACACAAACGACGATACGTTAGACACAGATACATAGCTCTAAGAGCTATTAAATCACCAGGAAATTCTCTTTCAGCTTTCAGGTTCCATCGAAGTCACCCACCACAGAGCTAGGGATTCCAATTCGCTCATCCTGACTACAAGGACACACTGATAATGAGTAGTCTTGGCACTTCTCCCTCCAGTAACCACTTTTCAGGTCTTTTCAGTTAAGACAGCTAATGCGTTAGGGCTGACACACGCTAGACACAGGCTCGTGATAAGACAGTGTTAGGGATGTCAACTCTGACTACGAGGACACACTGATAGCGAGAATTCCTGGCACTTCTTCCTCCAGTAACCACTTTTCAGGGGACCGGGTTAGCTTTGCCACACTCTTCATTGAAGTGTGACTGGACGCTCTACAATCATCTAGTAGCCAGCAGTGTTTGACTGACACCCCTACTGCAACTGGTTCTATTCAGTTCTACAGCGGAAGTTCTCAACACTCGAAAACAGTTCATCTCGGACATCCTGCAGAGATGCTTTTTCACAGCCTGCCCCATTACACGGGGAACCCTTAGATCTACAGTACCCTGGTGGACAGCATAGCTCACTAAAGCATAGTGGACCTCTTTAGTTCTGAGACGCAAAGCTAACCGGACCAGGAATAAACTCTCTCTCTCTCTGTTCTGGTCAACGGTTTCTGGTCTCTTACTTTATGAAGGGGGCCTTCTCGCCGTGCCCACAGAATGCAACTCCTGCTAGCTGCATTCCAGGACTCCCAAACCAGGAATAAACATCAATGCAATGCTTAGGGGATGCAAATAGGACATACAATGTTTAACGATTTACTCTAACTTTTGATTCATTTTTTAGCTCGATGATACATGGTATCATTTCAGGACAGATATTCCTTCTTCAGGTTCATTGAGGAAATCGTACCCGCTATTTGCGTTATACAATGGCAAGTATCTGGACTAATGATAACTTAGGATCTCAGATTCCTAGGTTGCATTTAAAGCGCTTAACAGCACCAGTTTTAACTCCAGGTTCGTTCTGAACATCTCAGACCAACTCAACTCACTAGGTATTCTCATCGAGTAGAACTTCGTTCAAGGACATGAAGGAGTATACGGTAAAGAACTAGCGGACGAATTCGCAAGGGACGATCAATCCAACAACATCCCCATAGGACCAGAACCCTTCCTCCCAATTAGGCCACACTCAGTGACAAAGGAACATTCCACTTGAGATGTTCCTCCACAACTATAAATACAGGAACTTTAATTTTTCTGGAACTCACATCAGATGGCTTACATGGTCGCTTTCAGGATAGGTCACAGCCCACTAGTTTATTTTCAGAACGTGGCAAACAACGTCAACTTCGAGACGCAAGATTGTGAACACTTTTCAGGAGAAGCAGAAACATCCCAGCACCTCCTCTGCAAGTGCATCCAGATCATGACGTTCAGAATGAGGATAATTGGTAAACTCTACCTTAAAAACAGTAAACTACAATCATATCTTCAAATTTGTGGAACAGTCGACAAGACTAGATAGGGAAAACCCTTTTGGGTAACCTCCTAGGATTCTTCACCAGGAACTTTCGCTAAATCCCATACTAGGAACTCAACCTAGGCCCATCTCCGCATAGAGACATATCTTCCAGGCTTTGACCTTGCTCGGAAGTCCCTTGTCTGCCCGCAGAAGTACTACAACGGAAGTGAGTTTGCTCTGAGACAGGTAGTGACAGCTTCAAGACTCCAGGGGTCTGTTGCATTGATATTTATTATTTTATGATTTCGTATATATACTTTGGGAGTCCTGGCGTGCAGCTAGCAGGAGTTGCATTCTGTGGGCACGGTGAGAAGGCCTCCATCTTTTAGTAAGAGGCCAGAAACCGTTGACCAGAACAGAGAGAGAGAGAGAGAGAGTATTTTTGAAGAATCATTCAGAATCACCCCCATCACATGCATACTACCTACTAGAGGTCAGGCCAGACACCTTGTATGTTTGTGTTTGACATACAGAAGGCAGCTCATACATGGACTCTCATTAGGATTCCCCCGGTGAACTATAAGTGATAAGGAGCTCAAATTTATCCTCATGTAAAACTATGTTATTACGTTTGGCCCAAGCAATAACATGGTCGAGATCTTGCTGAAAAACGATAACATCCTGTTCTGTATATATATGTGCTTCAGTATACGGGTGTCATCAGCAAAGAATTTTATAATTGAACCAGTCACACAAAGCTTCATGTCATCTATAAAGAGTATAAAAAGGAGGGGTCCAAGATCGATTCCTTGGGGGATACCACTGATAACCAAGGCTGCGAAGGAAGACACCCCGTTCAGAACAACAACTCCAGCCACTTAAGAATCCTTCCGTTGAATCCATACTTTTGCAATTTATCAATGAGAAGACGATGGTCCACTTTGTCGAAGGCCTTCGCAAAGTCTAAATATATTGTATCAGTATCTGACCCACTCAAAAGGCATCTCATGATCATGTCATCGAAATGGCTAAGAAGCTGAGTCAAACAGCTCCTTCCTGAACGAAATCCATGTTGATTATCAAACCGAATTTCATTTTCATCCAAGTACTTGACCATTGACCAAGGTGCTCCGTAGAATGCGCTCATAGATATTGATGATGTGTGAAGTGAGGGCAACGGGACGGTAGTTCACTGCATGTGCCCGGTTTCCCTTTTTGTAGAGAGGAGGAATGTGTGTCTCCTTATAGAATTTGGGTACAAGTCCCAGGGTGTATGGTTCCGTCCAGATAGATTTAATAGGTTGGCACAGTTCTTGAGCACATGTCTTGAGAAGACAGACTGGAACTCCATCTGTGATCTGGTCCACAACCCGAATCGGGCGAGATTGCAGAAATAGCCGATATGATGTCTTCATCAGAAATAACAAAATCTTCGTCAGTTAGTGGCCGATTGCGTTATATCTGCTGCCATGAACTGGGGATTTTGAACATCGGGACAATCTGGTCTCTTGATCACTGAAACAGAGCTAAGGGACATGCACTTGTATCACGTTGTGACCCCCACCACCCACGGTCGTTTCACTACCCCTGTAGAGTTTCTACGATACAGGCGGGTCATACAACGTATGACAAACTTGTATCACGTGGTGACCCCCACTGTCGCTTCACTGTATCGTCTTCGACGATACAGGGGGAGCCGCGCACTTCGTGCGCGGCGGGTCGTACAACGCATGACAATGACAAACATGCACAATGCAGATATAAGCGCAAATTTGAAATTGCTTCCGGGAATCCCGATTTTCTGTAATCCAGTTTTTCGAGAATCACGGGATTGAAGTAAGTATTTTGATCAGGATTGACTTCACTAACAGCTAATAGTAATAATATAAAATTGAAGCTGTAAGCGAAATTCGCGTCGCACGATCGAGCGCGTACGCGTGATCGATGCGATAAATCGATCGATCGCGCGCGCGATATTATATATGAGTATTGCTGAAAGCACAGTGTAAGGCCTACACGGACCGCCTCTAACTTACTGGGCCGCGCTCAGCCTGTCATTCCGCCAAATCATTATGTTAATGAACATAATAGC